GGGACAGATAATCTCATTTACGTCTGTTGCTACAACTCAAAACACCAGCAAATTAAATGGATCTGAAGGCTGAGATTAAAGACGTAGAATTAAAACACCTGTGAAGTGCCTGTAATGCAAATAGTTGTAAATATAATTTTTTCTGTGGGATGGAAGAGCCCTGCACAGGTACTGTTCCCTTCACCTTGAGAGCAAAGGCAGAAACACCACATCTCTGCAGACAGACTGTACACCCGGGCATTGCGTGACACTGCTTTCTTTTCGGTGGTTAGAAAAGGAGAGAAAAGGAGATGAGCTTGGACATCACCCTTTACCAGCCCTGGGAGACGTCTGTGTGGCCATCTGATGCTGACTGAGCTTTTGGCTGACTCAAAACTGGTATAAGACACTGATTCAGCGGGACTGGCTGGAGGAAGTCAAGGGCACTGCCCGTTCCTGGGCTTCGGCTGCAGGGATGTGCCTTGGCTCCACCAACGCTGCTTCTCCAGCTTCTTCTCCATCAGCCACCTGAAATGGAACAGGACGTTATCAAAGCCTGCCTGTGTTTCCGCCTTCCCTGTGCTTGGATGGAGAAGCCAGCGTGGCCTTGCAGCAGATGGTGCAGCAAATATTGTCGAACTCCCACACGAGTTTTGCAGGATCAGGCGTCGAACGAGCAGATGGGAAATATTCATTTTAGAAATTTCATTTTAGATGTTCCCTGGTCCTAGAATATGAGCTTCAAAGCCCACTGTACGTATTACTTCTTCCATAATTTCACAATGTGCATACGTGAGCCCCTCAGCTCCCTCGCCGGCACCCTGGGGTGCAGCAGGGATTGTGGTGGAGCCGGACTCTCCTTCAGGTGCTGCTGCCTGGGCACCATCACCCGAGCACCAGCTTCCCTCCAGAGCAAAGTATTAAATGTTTTAGCAAAGCACAGCCAGCAGATAGCAGCATTGTTATATATATAATATACTCCAGACTTTCTGCTGTGGTTTCAAAGTCATGCAGAAGCCTGGGTGGGTTCAAGTCGGAGGCCATGACCCCCCCTCCATCCCTGTGCAGTGGGCACCGAGCTCACACTGTGGGCACTCAGCCTGTGCTGCAGAGGGACACACTTACCTGTTAGAATCAAAGAGAAGAGTATTTCTGCAGCCTCTAAGCTAAATCTTCACGGGGGGTGAAGATTTCCCAGCGGGACAGGGCAGGCAAGGCAAATACCCTTAAACTGCAATTTTAGCACAATGGTCAAGCAAGTCTGTCCCGGCAGGTGTGGAGCGTGGAGAGCACCAGGAGGGCTCATCTTTTCCTGGGGGCTTCCAAGGCACAGCACAAGGCAAAACACTGGTACCTTCACAGGGCATGAGTAGGAATTGGGCGTCTTGCTGCTTGTGCAGGACTGATCCTGCTGCCGAGGGGTCTGGGGCATCAAGGCAGCTCTTCCCAGTGCTAAATCAATGAAAAAGAAATTAACAGCCAGCAGACAGAGACAGGAGCTACTTTTGTCTGACCTGGGATGTGCCATTTTGCTGTGAAGGGCTTGTGATATTGCAGGGCAGGAGTTTTCTCACCAGGCAGGGTCGTGCTGGTTTTGTTGTGAAAGGGATGGAAGATCCAGTGAGGGATACTGTTAATAAGACTGAATTAAAACTTGTTTGCTCTGATAGATTTGATTGGTTTCAGCAATGCCTGGAGCAAGCCACCTTCAACTCGCAGTAGCATTTTACGGCAGTTCAGCTAGGAAGGTATTCCTTCATTTATGGAAAAGTCTTTGATTTCAACCTGCAGAAGGATTCGGGGGCTGCCTGGGAGGGTGTCAGAGCTCCTGCTTCTGTTTCAGGCTGGGACATGGACATGTCATTTAATGACTGTGTCACATTTATATTTATATTTACTTTATGTTTATGGTTAAATTTATATTTATATGTATATTATTTATATTTATATTTAACACCTTGTGCATATATTTGCCACCATTCTTCCCCCGAGGATGCTTTCATGCCAATTACTTTCATCAGGGCATTTCACACCAACATAAAGGTCCCCACCAGCTAAACAGACTCTAAATGCACTGTATACAAGCAGAACATGAGATCATGAACCAGGCAAGAGCACTTGCATCAACCTTGAGCCATGTTTATGGGAATTCAGGTCGCTGTTGGAAGCTGAGATGGATTTAGCCCCCCAAAAGTGCCCCAAAAGCAGCTGTGAGCCCGCAGGCAGCACGGGATGGTGAGAAGAGGAGGCTGCCTGGCAGTGGTGGGACCTGCGAGGAAGGAATGCAAGGGGTTTGATAAGGAAGGAATAATAATAATAAGCTTTTCGGCAGGGCCAGAGCTGAGCCTGCCTGTGTTTACACACAGGCAAAAACTTCCTGAGCTGGAAGCGCAGCCTTTTCCGCTGGCTCCGCACCGTCCCTGCTCGGCCACCGCCGCTCTCGGCGTTTCCTTCAGTCTGGACGTTTTAGAGAAATCTTTTGTTTTGCCAAAGCAATTGACTGTAACTTTATTGTCTCTGCTTGGCTGCAGGACATACCTTGAGCTGTGAAAAACGCACCTGACGTTTGATTAGATCTCTTCGTTTTGATACAGCGACCAGTGCTGATTAGATAAACAATTGCCAAAAAAAAAAAAAGCCAAACTGGGCTCCCCGTCCTACCCCGCAGCACGAATCGAGCTCCAGGAGAGCTGCCCCACGCTCTGCAGCAGCTGGGGCTCTCAGGAGAGAAAGTAATTTCATCTTCCTGCATCTGTTCCCTCTTGCAGCCCGTCTTTTGGAGGTCAGGGCACCCTGAACTGCAACAAAACTGGCAGCTGGGGTTTCCAGCTGTATTCAGTACACCCCAAGAAGTCCCTGGGTGCCCCTGTCTGTGAGCCCATGCCCAGGAAACAGACACTAGGAAGGGTCGGGCATCCCAGAGAGGAGGGGGCCGGGTCAGTAAAGATACCCTGCCCCAAACCTCCTGCTTTCAGTGGAGCTCGGGCATCTCTGCAAGAACTGGGGCCAAAGGACTGCTGTGCATTGCTCTGCAAATTCGGTGAGGCAGAAACCATTGCTGGTTGTTGCACAGTGCACAGAGCAAGGAAACCTTCATCTTCATCTTCATCTTCATCTTCATCTTCATCTTCATCTTCATCTTCATCTTCATACATGGTCACAGCCATCTCCCCACTGTCAGGACAGACCCCAGCCCTGCAGATCCCTCCACGAGACTGGAGGGATCATTTATTTATCCAGGAATTAGCCGGGCATCATAAACATCAGCGTTTCAAACAAACGAGGTTTAATGCAGTGATGTAAGTCACTTGTCCTGCAAACATGTTTGTTGAAAAGCAGGGAAAACGTGCACAGAACAAGCCACAGCCTTTAGTCACAAGTTTTTCTGCTGGGAAACAACCTCTCTGCGAGGCGTTGTCCTCTCCTTGCGCTGGCACACGGCGCAGCCAGAGCCGTGTGTCCCGGGGGGATAAACATGCTCTTGTTCCAAGGACACAACAGAGAAGCTGATTTTTAATACTCAAATTTTTTTTTTCAACTGGGATTATTTACAACGAGATTTGGGAGAAGCAATTCACACCAAAACAAGCAAAACCTGAAACATTTTAAACTGTGTTTAAATGACTCTTGCACCCACGCAGCCAGCCCCAGATAATGATGGGCATTGCTTTGATTCCTTTAAGCGCTGTACCAAAAAAAAAAAAGCCTTCTCCTCAGCTGTTCGGTGCTGAGAAAAGGTTGTGATAAATTCACTAGCGAGAGGGTAGACCAGCTTCGAGGCCCGTTTCTGTCCTTGTTTTGACGTGGCAGTCGCTGCTGGTGCCTCTCGTCTTGCACCACCAGCACTTGCACAACAGCTTTGGCTCCCCACGAACGGGCTGTGTTTGCTCGGGACGGAGCTCAGACCTGCCCCGGTCCCGGGCTCTCACCGGAGCATGGAGCTCGACCGTGGCGATGTGGCTGGCGGCACCGCTTGCCACGGGAGCAGGATCAGTGCAGAACTAGGCAGGACTTGCTCCTGCTGTCGGGGTTTTGCTGTTGGCCTTCACTTACCGAAGCAAAAATACTTTTTGGTCATGTACCCGCTGCTGATGCAGAGGGAGAAACTCCCGTAGCAGAGCCAGGTTTCTGTCTCGCACTCATCCCACTGGGAGCCCTTTGGCATCTTTTGTTCCCAAAGTCCTGCCCCAGGATGGGGGGGGACTGCCAGCCCCAGGTGTCCGCAGAGCCGTATCAAACCCTGTCCAGCTCACTCAAGTCATGGATCACTGGCTCTGCCGCCTCCAACGCCATCTCCAGTCCCTGGCGTGAAGAGACTGGGCAAGATTTTTACTCTAAAACAACTACCTGCGTACTGGTAGGATTCAAAAAGAAACTGAGTTTGAAGTCTATTCACATTTCAGCCTTCAATTCCATCTGGAAAGTTTTATACAGAGCTTCAGCAAATTCTGCTGGAGTAGGAAATACTGAGGAAGACATAAAGCACGAGAAGGGGGATTAACTGCCTGATGTTGTCATAAAAGGGAGGAATCCTGCACTTAAACTAAAAATGAGATAAAAAACAACTCTGTTAATCAAAATGATCTGAAACCTGAGAGGCTTTTGTCACTGAAATCCCAATTTAACTATTTGAATCAGCCTAACACACTGCCACCAAAAATTTGGGCTGTTTGGAGTCTAGCTCAAGGCTCCTGCATCTTCAGCCTGGCTCTGCTTAAAAGCTGTTCAGGGCTAAGGGCACTTGCATTTCTCATTTGTTCTTCTAACAACAAAAGCAGAGAACAGCTGCAAAAAAGTGTCCTGTGGGGTCAACGGGAGGAGGAGGAGGAGGCAGAGAAGCAGGTCTTTGGCAGCTCTGGAGCTTAACGTGCTTTAGGCTGATTTTGGAGTTCTTCACAGAAATAATAATTAAAATAAAAAAAAAAGGTCTGCAATTCCCTAACTGTCCATAGAAACCTCTTGCCCTCCCGTTTCTCTCCGCTCCCCTCCCAGCCGGCCGTAAGGACGCGCTTCGCCCCGGTTCACATCTCGGTGTCGGCGGGGCTGTGCTGCCGGCCCGAGTGGCCGTTTTTGGAGGACGCTTGGCCGGTCCCGTTCTCCTGAGTCCCACCGTTGAGGTTTGGCTTCTCCTGCAGCTCGGGTTGCTCTTGGGAGGGCATCATCAACATCGTGTTTCCCTGGCTACCGTTCTCCGTGTAATAGGGGTCTTCAGCCTAAACAGGGACGTAAATGACAAAGGCAGAGTTAGGGAAGGGAAAGGGCTGACACAAGCGGCTTTGATTGCAGGCGGGGGCTTGGCTGCCCGCCTGCGCTTCCTGCACAGGAGGGACAAACAACTGCAGGCATGGGAACCTGCTCTCGCTGATGGGAAGGGGAGCAGAGGGCCTGAACCATGCCGTGGCAAGATGAAGCAAGGAAACGAGCCAGGAACGGCTTTTTTTTTCTCCTGGACCTGAAAAAAGAAGCTGTCAAATTTTGTTGTTTTCTCATAACCAGGTTTTGGAGCTGATCCTGCCTTGAGTTTGCAAAGCTACCCCGTGATAGACCACCTCTGCTTTCTGCTTTGGCCAAGTAAGAAGCACCATTGCACGAAAGCTATGGAAGTTGCCTCTTTTTCTTTCCCCGTCCTTCTTTCTTCCAGCCTGTCAAGAGACACATATCTCGCAGCAAGGCACTGGAGGAAGTGCAGGACTGCACTCCAGCAAAGAATCAGAATCATAGACTGGTTTGGGTTGGAAGGGACCTTAAAGATCATCCAGTTCCACTCCCTAACATGGGCAGGGACACCTTCCACTAGATCAGGATGCTCAAAGCTTGTCACCTCTATTGCTATAAGGAGCAAATGCCTCTGGAGGATCCAGAGCAATAGCAGAGCTGCCTCCATCTCCCCATGTGTCAGAGCGTGGCAGGTCTGGTACAGCGCAGCGGGTGCTGGTGGTCCCGGGCCATGGGTGGCAATTGCCAGCTGGTAGCAGATAGCCCCACTCCTTGTTTGCTCAGCGACATCCAGCCCCATCGTTTTGCTCAGCCCCTTTGCTGACACCCCTGTCTGTGGCAGCGAGGTTGCTGTGCTGGACACATCTCACCTAGAAACCGGATTGATGCTGCCGTGCGTTTACATGGGCAGCTCCCAGCCACGCATTTACGTTGCCTTTCACGTGCTGCCAGCAGCCAGGAGATGGTAGCTGGAGGCAGTGGGCTCGGGAGCCCGAGCTGCTGTGTCCCTGGCTCTGACACATGCACTTGACTTCCCATCTGCATGTTTTGAGAGCGTTCTTCCTGGCTCTAACGGCTTCCCAAGACACGGCTGTTCACGTGCCCACGAGCAGCAATGGGGGAAGAGCCTGGTCCATCCTCGCTTTACAGAGGGCTCACATTCCCGAGAGTCACTGGTAGGGAAGAGTCCTCAGCGCTCAGCCTGCCTGGAAAGGGGAAAATGGAAATAGGAAATTTCTTTCTCTTTCTTTCTTTATATGTTTTATTGCCATCACTTGTTAAGTGAGGGGAGAAATAGCCTTTATTACAGCATCGGTACAAGACAGACATAACTCAAACGCAGGGAATGGAAAGTTAAAGGGTGTCACTTCTAATGACAAATTCGTAAGGTTTCGGTGTCTCTGGAGGGGTCTTGCTGGATGAGTTCTTACTGCTGAGCAAAAATAAGTGTTAGACCTAGAAGTACGAGCGAGAAAGGGGTGGTTTTCCTGCAGGAGCAATCAGCTAGGAGTTAATTTTAAAAAGGCAAGAGAGGTTCCCCCTCACCCTGTACAGTCTGGCCTCCCTGCTCCTGCCCTTGGGGCTGTCCCGGCCCCGGCTCCCAACACCCCAGGTGCCCACCGAGCCGTCCTGTCCACCTGGGGACACACACGGGCTGAGGGTACC